ACCAGTTGTTGCAGCTTGTTTTGTGCCAGAAGCTTTGAGTGTTTTGCACTAGGAACTGAAGCCGCAGTGTTTGAGCAAGTGAAGCCAGAGCAGCAGGAACTCAGTTTTTGCCGCAGCCGTGTGAGAGCACAAGAAAAGGAAAGCGTAGAAGAAGAAAAGGAAGAAAAGATGGCCAGGGAAGAGCTGGTCGAGACGTTGCAGCACCTGCTCAGCCGTATCGAGGAACACTCATTCAGAATATACGATGCAGAAAGGAGACTTGATGTCGTCGAGAAGCACCTAGGAAAGGAAGACCAAAAGAAGAAGGAAAAAAGGGAGCAGGAAGGCCAACCAAGGAAGTGGAAGTGGAAGCAGCCAGCAGCCAAGCGAAGAAGAAAAGGAAGCCCTCAGGAACCTCGTGGAAAGGAACAAAATGGAGGAAGAGAAAGCAGAGGAAATGAGGATGGAAGCAGAAGAGAGGAAGAATGAGGAAGAGATGGAGGAGCACAAAGCGAAGTTGAGAGCAAGCTTTGAGACCTACTTCGCAAACCAGCAGGAAGAAGAGCACGAAAGACTCAGGAAGCAGGAAGAGCAGATGAAGAAGATGGCAGACGAGATGAAGGAAATGCAAGAAGTGGCAGAGCAACGAAGAAGGAACCTACTGGCCGAGTACCAGCAGCAGGAGAAGAAGATCGAGGACTACTACACCAGCAAGAGCAGAGAAGGAAGTGCAGCAGGAAGTACAGCAGGACAAGACGAGAACTACCAGGACCACCAGAGCGAGACCTACTACCAGAACAAGGACTACACCAAGGACGAGACCTACTACCAGACCAAGGACTACGCCGAGAACGAGACCTACTACCAGAGCGAGCACAACGAGAACTACGCGGAGGAACAGGAAAGAAGGAAAAGCGAAACAAGAGCTCTCCACCAGGAAAAGGTAGAGGAAGCAAAGAAGAAGCACGAGGAGAACCAGAAGAAGGAAGTTCACTTCGAGTACCCGTTCGCCACAGGACCGGTGAAGGACTACGTCGAGGATGGCCAGATCTACCAGCACAACGTCGTCACAGGAGAAAAGCAATGGATAGGGGTTGAGCCAAAGTACCAGTGGCAGAAAGGAAGCAAAGGAAGCGAGGACAAAGGAAAAGGAAAGGCAGAAGGAAACGAAGACAAAGGAAAAGGAAAGGCAGAAGGAAACGAGGACAAAGGAAAAGGAAAGACAGAAGGAAAGCCACGACCACCGCAACCGCCAGTGGAGGAGCCACCAGCAGAGGAGACAGGAAAATGAAGAGGAGGAACAGCACCAAAAGCCCAAGGAAAGCCAGGAAAGAAAGGCAAGAAGACGGGCCCTGGCACCTACGGTACCAGAGAGTACCAAGGCCAGGAATACCAAGTCTGGGTCAGCGGAGATGGCATCCTCTTTTGGCAGGAAGGTGATCGGTGGATCACTCAGACAAGGACAACGCAGTGAGAAGGAAAGAGATGATGAGAAGAGAGGACACGAAGAAAGCCAAGGAACTACCTCGGCTACACCGTGAACCTCTTTGCAGTGCACCTCGGCACGAACACCTGGAAGCCCAGGACTGAGAAGCATGTACAGTAAAACTTGTAAAGGAACCCTTGCAGTGTTGGACAGCTGGGAAGGCGACTGTATGTTGCCCGAAGCAAAGGAACATTGCTCTTTTCGCTTTAACTAGGAAGCGTGTGTACTCTAGTGACAGCAGGAAACAGAAACCTGCTACAGTTTTCAGGAAAGCCTTTCGCAAATTTCTGAGGCGGGGTGTTAAGCATTCTGTCACAGGAACATGCACCTTTCAGGTACAGTTGCAAATGCCAGGAACGGGCCGCTCACTAAGGCTCGAACCTACCGACGAGGCAAGGACCGCGTCAAGGAAAAGTGTGAGAGACTGCGCTTTAGGAACTAGTCAAGGAACGCTCCGTTTTCTAACAGATAAACCCAAGGTTGATCCCCTGCTCAAAGCACATTAAGTCGCCGATGTGCTTATCCTGCACCACCCTACGTCAAAGAAAACGATCAAGTACGACCCACCCAGCCGGGGACTTCCTCCGAGCCTAGTGGCTCTTCCAAGGCCGAAACAGCCGCTGCTCAAGACCACGACGACCTCAACCTGGGGACGTAGCTTTACTCCTACACACACTCAGTAGTGTAAAACCTTTGGAATAGCTTTAGCTGAGTACTTTTCCAGTGGCTTGCACACCAGCTGTGGCATCGCAAACCGTACACTTAGTGCGAATCCAAGGGGGCGTGTCAAGATCTTCTGTAACCCAACATTCCCTGTGGATGAGAATGCATAAACATGCCCATGCAAGTTCGCTGTCCTCGGAGCTCAAAATTTAGAAGAGTCCTGATTAGAAAATTCAGGGGCACCCTGTCAGTCCAAGGCTCCATCCTCGTCAAAAACGTGAAAAGGGTGGATTTTACTAGGAGTTCGAGAGTTTCAAGAGTTCTGATTTCAAGATGAGCGGCGCCCGCGTTGTTTCTGCCGCGGTGTTTCTGTGCGTCGTGAGATCAGAGCTGCACGCACCCCTGCGTGTGCACATCAGGATCAGGGCCTAGGCTATGGCATCAGCTCCAGGGGCCTCGGGTCATGTGGCTTCACAATCCGGCGTCACCACCTAATGCGCCTAATGCGGCGTCGGCAATTCTTCGTCACCACCTACAATGCATGTCAGCAATTCGGCGTCACCACGTAATGTGGCGTCAGCAATTCAGCGTCGCCACCCAATGCGGGGTCAGGGGCCAATTCGGCGTCAGACAATGTGGCGTCACGGTTCGGCATCACCTATAAAGCAATGCGGCTTCAGGCTAGGAATTCGGATTCGGTGCCAGGTCGTTTGCCACACTTTTCCAGGCACCCGCCCTTCATATATGTATATGTGGTATATGTGTACATGTATAGGCGCATGCATGCATACATACACACATACAGACATACAGACATACAGACATACATGCACATTTGTTACTTTCCTCGCTTGAACGCCTCACCTTAACTCATTGGCAGTTTCACACGTTAGCACAATGCTTTCCTGCGTGGTTTATCGGATCCTTAATCGCGCTGCCTCTGTAGATTTCTCATCGCAGCACCGCGCAGTTCGGTCTGCGTTGGTGCCGGCGCATCTTCGTCGGCTCCCGCTTTATGTATAGCAGCATCCGCTTGCAGAGCATGATTGCAGTTACGAGCGAGTGATTGTTGAATGACGGCATTGGAATTGGCACATTCGTCTAGTTACTCAGTTGTCATGGCATGATTTTTTTGAGGCCCTGAAGAGGCAGAGAAGAAGCAACAGAACCTGGAGCCGGGAGCCCAAACTACATCCGTCGCATGCTGCGCGTCGACGTGGAGCCCGGCAAGCTGTGAAGCTGAGGTCCATCTTCAACGAAGAGGAGGAGAAGCTGCAGAATGGCGGCGGCATGTGGAACCCGCTCGGGGACCCCAGAGCCGAGTGGAACCGGGAGAGTGTGTAGGCGCTTCTTCTGTGCCTTCTTCGAGGTTCCGCTGAGACGCCGCGGCGGGTCAAAACCGTCACCGTCCGCCTTTTCGCGCGCCCAGGCCACAGGCCGAGGCACGGGGCCACGGGGCCACGGGGCCACGGGGCCACGGGCCCCACCCACGCGTGTTTGTCCGCAAGGGGTGCATGCGGCATGCGGCATGCGCGCTTTCTTTGTCTGCCTCTCCAAAGCCAAAGACAGGCTCGCAGCTCTTCGCTCATCCACGAGAGAACCACTTGGAGGGTGCCTCCCCTTCCCGTTTGAAGGCCTCTCTTTCAATTTCCGCCGCCTTCAAAAGGCAGCGTACAGAGTTTTCGCGATCTCAGCGCCCCTTTTCGGAAAAGAGAAGAGCCGCATGCCGAGCTCGTGCTGGACATGGCCATAGCAAGCTGCCAGCAGCCTTTGCAGCGCCTTTGCAGCGCCTGTGCATCGAGCGCCGCAGCCTGCAAGGGAAATATCGGCAGACAGGAGAACATGTGAGCTCGAGACACAAGGAAAACCGCGTGACACTCGAAGCGGGTTGGCGGGGCCTTTGCTGCCTCTTAAGGCCTCTTGTCATGATGGCCACTTTGGGCCGCCTCGGGCTCTTCCTCTTCTGCACCGCAACGCCCCTGGCGGCTCGGGAGCCCAGCTCGGCGCAGGAGAGTGCTCTGAAGCTCTGTCGAAGCTCCGCTCCAGGTCGCCGCGAAGGCACCGCGGGCCGCGGGGTCCGCAACAGACGCAGAAACCGGAAACTGATCAGAGACGGCTGCACTGCGCTGCTGCACTGCGAAAGCTGCCAGGAAAGCCAGGCGGAGTCCTTGAAGGCGTTGATGGCTGAGAGCTCTCGATGCGCTTAAGAGCTTGAGACCGAGAGTCTGGGGAGGCTGAGATGGAGCAGCTGCAGAGGACGCTGATGGCCGAGGCACAGCAGATGGGTCCAAAGCGCACTGCCGCATTGCCCCGTTCCCTGAGATGGTCGTGGAGCAGCTTCAAAAGAAGCTCATGGCCGAGGCCATGGCGGCGCTTTCCCGCTGCTCCCTTCGCTTTCCTCTTCTTCTCGGCGGAAGCCGTTGTCGCTCGTTTCCGCTCGTTTTGCTCTGCAGGTGCAGGGGCTCTTGTCGGCCCAGCAGCAAGCCCAGGCCACGGCTTTGGAAGCGCTTCGCAAGGAGAGCAAGGAGTCTGCCGAAAAGCAGCAGAGCCTTTCTCAGACGCTGCAAGAGAGCTTGCAAAAGCAGAAGGAGGACGCAATTGCGGCTTCTTGCGTCGCAGTCACTACCCCCCTGTTTCCCTCCCGCCCCGCGGTCCCCACAAAAAGAAGGGGCCAAGGGGCTCAGGGCTCAGAGCTGAGAATCGTGAGGAGATCGCAAGCTCGCAGAAGTCTGTGAGTGCACTTGCGACGAAGACTGAAGAAGCTTTGGCGGCGGGCCTCAAGGCACAGGCGCAAAAGACCACCGAGGCGGGCCCCTGTGGGTAATGGGGCTAATGAAGCCTCACAACATGCATGTGGGTCCATGTGCCTCTCTCTTCTCTCTTCCTCAGGAGGCCACGGCCTTGCGGGCTGCGCTGGCGCAGTCGGAGAAGAAGGCGGAGGAAGGGCAAGCGGCGCGAGCCGCCAAGACCACGGAGGACCGTCCAAAGCCCAGCCTTCCGTCGGCCCGTGATCCCTGTGATAGCACCGCTGCTGACCGCTGAAACCAAAGAGAGCGTCGATAGCTAGACAGGACATGTAAACAATGTAAACATGTATGCAAGAAGAAGACTCATCGCGCACTCAAACAAGCACTGCAACACTGTTAGTCATTGTCATTTGTCTGCAAACAGAGACTATCCCGAATCATTTAAAGAAGGAGATCACGTCCTTGCGGACTGCCGTGGCCGCTGCGGAGAAGAAGGCGGAGGAAGGGCAGGCAGCACAGGCGGCCTCAACCGCCAAGGACTCGGGGGCGGACAACTCCAAGACTCCAAGAAGCTGCGGCGTTTAGTACTGGACCAGCTGAAACGAAAGCAATTCTCGTTGCCTCCTCCGCTAAATCACCCGCCAAATAGGAAGGGTCAGGATCGTTTTTAGGGAGCGATGGTGACTATTGCTCATAATGCCCACTCCTGGGTTCTAGGATCCTCCTCCTACTGGAAATCAGCAGGATGTAGATGGGCATTCACGAGACCTTGCCTATCAAGGCCGCGAGACAGAGAAGACAAGGTCCAAGAGAACAAACACGTTCAGAAACCCAGAAACCCGCACCGCGGCTTGGCGTTTGCAGATCCATGCGAGGAGATCGCAGCCTTGCAGAATTCCTTGAGCGCTTCCGTCAAGACGACGGAAGAGGGACAGGCCGCGCAAGCAGCCAAAACGGCCGAGGTGGGATTGCGGGCATGCCGGATTGTGCGTAAGAGGTTGTAGCGATTCGCGAGAGGAGATCACTGCCTTGCGGAATGCTCTGACGGCCTCAGAGAAGAAAGCAGAAGAAGGTCAAGCGGCACAAGCCGCCAAGACCACAGAGGAGTGCATTCGGAGCTTTCCGGACCATCAGCTGCTGTTGGTGTTTTGCTCTGTGTCCAAGGAGATCACGACATTGGAGACTTCCTTCAGTGCTTCGGCGAAGAAGATGGAGGAAAGCCAGGCAGCACAAGCGGCCAAAACGACCGAGGTGGGCGGCATGGAAGTTCCGAAGACGGGTGATGTCTTGATCGGTTCTCGGATCTGCAAGGAGATCGCGTCCTTGCGGACTGCCCTGGCCGCCGCAGAGAAGAAGTCGGAGGAAGGGCAGGCAGCACAGGCGGCCTCAACCGCCAAGGACTGGATTCTTTGGGTGGTTCGAGTAGCTGTGTTTCTCTATTGTTTTTGTCCAGAGTGTGCGTTGGCGCGACGTGCTGCGGATACGTCAGTGTGCGAAGACTGCCAGTGCAGGCCAACAAAAACGAGAAAGAGACGCTGTCAAGACAAGTCGGTGCAGCGGCGAAGAGCGGCGGACAGGGGAAGGGCCGCAAGCACAAGCAGCACAATGCGCACAATGCGGGGGGGGGAAAAGCGAAAAGCACCGCGTTCGGGCCGGGGCCAGCGCCAGCCGCTGCGACTGAGGCCGGCTGTGATAGAAACCACTAATAAAGGCCCCCTACTGGCCCCGCTCAGACTTCTGGGTCTTCTGAGCCCGGTGAGGGAGATTTTGCGACTGGCTTTCGTCCTTCTGAGGATGCTAGCTTCTTTTCTGACGGTTTCGCTGCCCGCCAGTGCTATCTGCTGCTTCTGCTCGGCAAACTCTGCTTTCTGACTCGTCCAGTCTCGTTTTGTTTTTTGACTCGGTGCAATTCGGTTTCCGGACTCGCCGGTCACGTGCATGAGGAGATCGCGGCCTTGCAGAAGGCGCTGACGGACTCGGAGAAGAAAGCAGAAGAAGGTCAAGCGGCACAAGCCGCCAAGACCAATGAGGAGTGGGTGGGGGCTTTGCCGACTGCAACTGCAAACCTGAGCCTTCACTTCTCTGCGTCCAAGGAGATCACGACATTGCAGAATTCCTTCAGTGCCTCGGCGAAGAAAATGGAGGAAAGCCAGGCAGCACAGGCGGCCAAAACGACCGAGGTGGGGAGCATGGTGATGGTGGGTTGGTGGGGGAGTAGGGGGTAAGGGTAGGAGTAGGATCGGAGCAGGAGTACGAGTAGATGCGGTAGTCATCAGCAGTGGTGGTAGTAGCAGTAGTGGTAGGTGCAGCTGCAACAGCAGGAGTAGTAGTAGTAGCAGCAGCAGCAGACGAAGTAGTAGTAGTAGCAGAAGAAGTAGAAGTAGAAGTAGAAGTCCACTCTCAGAAAGAACCTGAAACATGAGAAAACAACACACATCAGGTTTGGATTTGTTCCAGCTTTGCACCACTTCCGAGGCTCCTCGAAGCGGCGACCAAGCCCAAGCGTATTTTGCAAGGCAAACGCCCTCAACCACTCCCGAGGCGTTAATTGTGCTCTCGAAGCGACCAAGCCCACGTCCGTTTCCAAAGCCTGCCAAGCGCACTTGGCCTTCGAATATTAGGGCCAGTGGTCCGCGAGGGTTCTTTGCATGCTGCCTGTTTCGGCTTAAAGGTATATTCGTTTGTATTTAATCATTGTGGAAAACACAACTGCCGGGGTCGGCTAGGGGTTTCCTTCCATGCCAAAGTAACATATGTTTCAAAACAGATTTCGCACGCAAGGCTGCCTCTGTTTAGCGCAAAAACGAAACGTCTGCAATACAGTGCAGAACTCTCATGCTGATTATACGGAGAAGCCTGCAAATACATTCATATGAGCTGCGGTGGTCCGTTCAAAGGTTGCTTGGGAAATCCGAATGTCGTAGAGTCTAGAGACGTTGACGGGACTCGGACAGCCACATGTGCAAACAAAATTGGACAAGATGGTTTGCTTTTGCGGAGGTTCTGCGGCATGTTCGTGTGCTTGGCGCAGTCGCATATATGTTGCTTGAGGTAGCACTGTGATGTTGGGAAGTGTTCACACGATGTCATGCGACATTATTCGACATTGCTCGACTGCCGTGCTGGCAAGGTTCGTAAGATGTTTCTGCCAGCAGTTCGTGGTTCCTATCACTTGAGTTATTCCTGTATCGAAGCTGCGTTTTATTGGCACGAGAACCACGCCAGGACATCACAGCCTTGCAGACGTCCTTGAATGCATTGGGAAAGAAGACGGAGGAGAGTCAAGCGGCGCAGGCGGCGAAAGTCGCGGAGGAGCGTGGCCGGTCGTGCGGAAATATATGTCGTCGTGAGTCCGACACCGATGTTGCTTTGACGTCAGGAGCTTACGACTTTGCGAGACTCTCTGAGCGCTTCGGAGAAGAAGATGCAGGAAGGACAGGCGGAGCAGGCGGCTAAGAGCAACGAGGAGCTGCGGGGTGAAACGCTGAATTTTACGCGTCCAGGTGCCTGTCTGTTTCATGTATCACTTGCATGTATCCATGCCTGTTGCTCAAGGTTCTAGCAGAGTACGATCTACAGCTGTGCGCCTGTAGTAAAAGAGACTCCTGTGTGCCTGTGTTCCTGTACGCCTTAGCGAGGGGATACACGCCCAGGTTACATCTCAACGTGGTAG